GGCTTGCGCGATAACCGCATAATCTCTCCTGTTTCAGCCCCATCCACAAGTCCTGCCGGATCCCCAGAGCGGGAGCAAGGAATCGAGCGGCGGCCAGTCGACTACATGCTGTCCCGCTCAGTAGACCATCTGGAGCGTCCCGCCCCGCTTCCCCGACCTGGAGCCCTGCTCTGCTGCACCTCCGAATTGCAAGTCAACCAAGGGGAAGAGACCTACCGCAAGGCTCGTCCCACCCTCGTCATCCCTGCCCACTACATGCGACTTCCAGGGACACACCCTCTGTCGGGCCAAGCGCTTCTTTTGCAGTCGGATGTACAGAGCGAATTGGAAAGCATTCAGGCGGAACTCAGTGCGTGCCATCAGCCCCAAGGCCAAGTCCTGCAACCGTGGGGCAAAGGAGAGCAGGAAAGGGGGACGCAAGGGACGGGGGACAACCGAGGTGGAGGAGTTGAGGAGTGGATGTTGCAGACGGCCACTCTTCCCGCTGATCTCTCCATCCCCAACTCGCTCAGTCAAACAGGCCTGGATGTGGTGCAAATGAACGGAGAAGATCAGCTTCTGGCCGAAAAGACTTTGATGGAGCTCAGGGGGGGAAAGCCGCTCCCCCATCCCAGAGCTTGGTTCGTGTCACTGGACGGCCGCTCCAATGCCCACATCCGCCATTCGTACATCGACTTGCAGAGGGCAGGATGTAACAGCAGTTGTGTCGGAAGCAACGACGCCAGTCAGGACTCTGGGGTTGATATGAGTGACATCACACCGGGTCGGCGTTTTCGTGAAAAAGTCAGGGGTAAAACTGAAGTTGGGGCTCAGCCTGCAGTGCCTGTGGTCGGATATACACCGCTAGTGTTTGTAGAGGACTCAAATGCTAATGCGGAGAACAGCGGTAGCCCAACACCAGTCTGCAGCCCTGAAGAACACTCTCTAGGGGGTTTATTACAGGAAACAGAGAGGGAAGAGGAAGACGAAGGGACTTTGTCTCCCCCATTGCCTCCACCTGAGCTTCCTTCACCACCTCCTCTCTCTGAGCCTGTGGTTGAAATGGCGGAGGAGACGGGGACAGATAGTGATGTTTTCAGGACTGAGGAGACTCAAATGCACATGAGCAGCAGCCGGCCAGATAACCTGGTCGTCCCTGATGATGGTGGTGAAGACGAGAACAAGAAGAGTCCGTGGCAGAAACGAGAGGAGCGACCACTACTGGCCTTTAACCTAAAATGACACGCCTTTTAAAAGGATAGTTCATCAAAAAAAATGAAAATTCTGTCGTCGTTTACTCATGTCGTTCCATACCTGTATGACTTTCTTCTGTGGGACACAATTAAAAATGTATTTTTGTCCATACAGTCAAAAACAATATTTAGATGCCATTGACTTTCATTGTATGGACAGAACAGTTGAAGCATTCTTCAAAATATTGTACTTTCACTTGGAGAACATAAAAGACATCATACAGGTTTGGAATGGCATGAGGGTGAGTAAATGCTGACAGAAGTTTCATTTTTAGGTGAACTGTCCCTTTAAGTGCTTCCATCGTGGTCTCTAGCTGGACTGTTGAATGGAGTTGCCTTATGAGCGCAGGTCTGTGCGTGGCTGTTTGCCTGTGGCAATGAAAGCCAAGAAAGCCATAGCACAAATGAATATCGGAGCAGCTCTGCCTCACAACTGTACGAGGAAGAACAAACTGAAGTTTAAGACAAAAAAAACACCTTAAAATACCAATCTAATGCACATCTGCTATGGCTTTCCAGACATACACTTTGAGCAAAAAATATTGCAATCCATTGTATTGAAGGTGAAAAGTTGTTTAAGCTTTATGATATGCTGCTGTTCTTGAGCAATATGACATCTAGTGGCAACACATGTACACTGCAACTACACCTCTTAAGTGTTTCCCAGCACTTATTTTTGAACATTTTATGGGATGACTGGAGGAATGTCTTCCTCATCTTAATGGGTTAAAAAACACATAAAACCACTATAATGGGATCAACAGTCTAAATCTCACCCATTTTCAGTTTTATTGGTATAATAAATTCATGAGTAGAATACAGCTGAAGCTTTGTGAACCAAATAAGTTTACATAATGCATCATTTGTTCTTGTTAATCATTTTGGCTGTGTTGAGCACAGATTTTCAAATGTGCATTTCTTCAACCTTAGGATTACAGTAAGACTTTTGCCAACATTGCTGGTCCGCTTCAAAGCAGCAGACCCACTTGTTAAAGAAAAAAAACCACTATGCATTGCTTTAAACTGAAGGATCATGTAGCTTTATATGCCTCGTTTTTTATTTTAACCACTGTATTTTAATTTAGTTGTATTGTTATTATTATTTTGGTTTGAACTTGCCTTCGCGTGTGAGTGAATTGAAACGCACATTCAGACGAGGGCTGGATGCAACCGCACTCACTCACGTAAACAGCCACCAGCCTTTCTTTCCCAAACTGTCGGGGTTATTTTATTTTATTTTTTGTCTTAAGTGCCTTTCTAATGCTAATTTATATCCATCATTAGATAGCTATGGCTTTCCAGACATACACTTTGAGCAAAAAATATTGCAATCCATTGTATTGAAGGTGAAAAGTTGTTTAAGCTTTATGATATGCTGCTGTTCTTGAGCAATATGACATCTAGTGGCAACACATGTACACTGCAACTACACCTCTTAAGTGTTTCCCAGCACTTATTTTTGAACATTTTATGGGATGACTGGAGGAATGTCTTCCTCATCTTAATGGGTTAAAAAACACATAAAACCACTATAATGGGATCAACAGTCTAAATCTCACCCATTTTCAGTTTTATTGGTATAATAAATTCATGAGTAGAATACAGCTGAAGCTTTGTGAACCAAATAAGTTTACATAATGCATCATTTGTTCTTGTTAATCATTTTGGCTGTGTTGAGCACAGATTTTCAAATGTGCATTTCTTCAACCTTAGGATTACAGTAAGACTTTTGCCAACATTGCTGGTCCGCTTCAAAGCAGCAGACCCACTTGTTAAAGAAAAAAAACCACTATGCATTGCTTTAAACTGAAGGATCATGTAGCTTTATATGCCTCGTTTTTTATTTTAACCACTGTATTTTAATTTAGTTGTATTGTTATTATTATTTTGGTTTGAACTTGCCTTCGCGTGTGAGTGAATTGAAACGCACATTCAGACGAGGGCTGGATGCAACCGCACTCACTCACGTAAACAGCCACCAGCCTTTCTTTCCCAAACTGTCGGGGTTATTTTATTTTATTTTTTGTCTTAAGTGCCTTTCTAATGCTAATTTATATCCATCATTAGATTAATTTTTCCTCTCCACTATCATTTTGTGTCATATTATTTGATGTTTTTCACAATATATTGACTCGTGTGGCATTACGCCCTCCTTTGATCTCATTGTATGTGTGTGTTTTAATTGTTGTATCTGGATATACAGTGGGCTCCAAACATCTGAAACCACACTGAAAATCTGGGATTGAGAATCTATTTTAACCCTTATAAGATTTTGATGCTTGAAACAATAGTTTATGAAACATTTGTTTATGCAACTCAAGTGCTGATGTCTTTGAAGCAAAAAGAGGACATAGCATTTTTTTCATTACCGAAAGTATTTGTCATAGAAAAATAGCATCGATTTTTATTTGTTTTATTTTATTTTATTTTTAAAATTGTAAAAATATGTTTTTCAATCATGGTAGTCTCAGACTTTTGAAACCCCCTGTGTATTCAGTGCTGCTTATGATTCTGGTCTATTCTTTTGCCTTGTTTGTATGTATGTACATATTCATTCACCCAGTTGTTTATGCTCGTGTGAGTGTGTGTTGCTTGGTGTAGCTGTGTGTTTGCTGTAGACATCCTATGCAGTGTGTGTATGTACTGATGTAGGACTGAAAGCGATGTATCATTATTTGAAAGCTGTTGAAAGTCTGACTTGTTGCCAGGGTAACCACTTTGTAAGAAACCTTGTGTCATTCGGCTCTTCAGCAATCTACTTTGAATGTCTGGACTGGTTGCTTGTATTATAATTCAGGCCTATTATCCAATAAAGCAAAAAAAAAAAAAAAACCTGATCAGCGCTAGTTGAACATTATTTTTCAACATATCCAATGCAAATCATAAACACAAGAATTATCAGGGTCACTTTATGATAAATCAGATGCAACAGATCTCGGACTGACTACACTGGATGACACTAAAGAATGTATAAAAATTACATGACTTTCTGTAACAGTCACATTATTTAATATTTAAATGAAATCATATCTATTCTAATATGCTAATATATTTTGTAATACATATACTAATATTCAATTTAATCTACACTTTTAGGGCTATGAATCAAGGGTTGATGAGAGGTATACCGATCTCTTTCACTAATCCAAGACCATGAGAAGAGTTTCATATTTCACAGTACAGAATGAGCTAATTGGAATATGTCTGATTGAAACAAACATTGTCTGTTCTCCCTTTTACCATCTGGGAAACTGTTTTAAAGCTTCAAGGCAAAAACCAACTGGTTATGGAGCAGCTTCTACTCACAAGTTGTTAAACACAACGCAGTCATTGCAAAGCACTACTCACTTGTATACAAAACAGCTGCTACTATTTATATTTACTATCACTTTCTTTTCTCATTTATGGCACACAACTTTATATTTTGATTACAAGCTGTGGTTTTACTTAGCTTTTTAAGTTTTTATTTTTTATTATTTTTTTGTAGAAAAATACATTCCATTGTGAACAAATAAATACTGTTGTAATTGTGATATTACACATTGTGTCAAAGTTTACTTTGGGATAGGGTAAACCAGACTACTGTAAACTTGAGCAACATTATTAGCCTGTTATAATATAATTTTACAATTAAACAATAAAACATTTTTAATAATAATAAAGTTAAAATATTTGCTTTTTTTTCTGGTTGGCCTTGTGTGTCTCCATTTACAATCTCAAGGGCTATTAGTGGCAATAATCGGTAGACGGTGCTGTTTTCCGTGGTTTTTATTGAGTGGTTTTGTCGTGAGGATTTGCAGCAGATTCATTCATGATGGCGGAGGACAGCGAGTCCGCGGCCAGCCAGCAGAGCCTGGAGTTGGACGACCAGGACACCTGCGGCATCGACGGAGACAACGAGGAGGAAAATGAGCACATGCAGGGGTGAGCAGGCGCTAAAGAGCTGCTGTTTGCGCGAGGATTAGCCGCGGCATCCCGTCGCCGTTTAATTGCCCCAGAGATGTAAACAATCTGTTAGCTTAGCAACCAGGTAACCAGGAGGAGAATTCGTGTATTTTAAACGAGTCGGCTAACGTAATAGCTCGTTAATTGCTTGATGGATATATATAGCGGTATATATAAATTTTTTTTAAATAGCCTAAATAAGTGTCGATATTTACTTTATACAGCGTTGGAATCAAAGTAGTTAGCTGTAGTTAGCTCGACATTAACGTTCAAGGATTTATTTGAACTCAGCAGTCAGACAAGTCCTCCAGGCTCTTCTCTACTATATTTCTGAACGTATTTATAAGTCTGCTTGGTTTTGCAGTTGTTCATATTTACATAATGGGAGTGGAAAGCGTCCTCCTGGTTTCATTAGTTTGTCTTCATCATCTCTGAACAATACAAACACGCTTGATCCTCTTCATGAGCTGAGCGAGCAGCATTGCAGTCGAGCATCTTTGTCAGCTCGAGGACAGAGGATGATGATTGTCTGTTGTTGTCAGGCAGACTTACATCCCTCAGGAAGCCAAGTTTGACCTGCTTCCATAAAGAGATTGACACTTGTTTTAATAGTATTTCCTCTGGCAGTCACCCTCCAGGCTATTGTTATAGCAGTAATCCACTGACACTTTCACCTGTCATGCTTGTCTTTGAACCCCATAAACAGGTCTGTGCTTTGTCAGTAAGGTATATCTGGTATTTGAACGGTGTTGTGGTTTTGTTAAGGAGTCCTGGGGGTGATCTTGGTGCAAAGAAAAAAAAGAAGAAACAAAAGAGAAAGAAGGAGAAGCCAAGCTCAGGAGGAGCCAAGTCTGACTCTGCCTCTGATTCTCAGGAGATAAAGGTTTCTGCTTTGTGTAGTGTTATAAAAACAGGTTTTGTTAAAAAGAGAAAGAGGCTGATTTCCCTCTGTTCCTGTCCCAGAACCCTGCCATTCCAATGCAGAAATTGCAGGACATTCAGAGAGCTATGGAGCTCCTGTCCACCTGTCAAGGTCCAGCCAAAAACATAGATGAGGCCACAAAGCACAAGTACCAGTTCTGGGACACTCAACCCGTGCCCAAACTCAGTAAGTCATACGTCACCTCTGCATGTGTTCGATTGCAACATTACAAATGTAAGCAACTTGGCACATCCTTGGCAAATCAGTAAGAATCTTACAATGATCCTTAAACAATGTTGTATTCAACAAGCCAGTCAACTTATGGTTTAATCAGAAAACACAATCTCAGCATCATGAATGAAAGCACAAGCATAAGACGTCTAGTTACACAACCGTTCAAAAGTTTGGGGTTGGTAAGATTTTTTTTTAATGTTTTTGAAACAAGTATTTTAGGCTCACCAAGGCAGCATTTATTTGATAAAAAATACAGTAAAAACAGTAATGCTGTGAAATATTATTACAGTTTAAAATAACTATTTTCTGTCTGAATATGTTTAGAATGTAATTTATTCCTGCAACGGTAAAGCTGAATTTTCAGCTCCAGTCTTCAGTGTCACATGATTCTTCAGAAATTATTCTAATATGCTGATTTGGTGCTCAAGAAACATTTCTTATTATCAATGTTGGAAATAGTTGTGCTGCTTAATATTTTTGTGGAAACTGATACAGTTTTTCAGGATTCTGTGATGTTCAACAGCATTTATTTGAAATAGTAATGTTTTATAACATTATAAATGTCTTTATGGTCACTTTAATCCATCCTTTCTGAATAAAAGTATTAATTTCTTTAAAAAAAGATTACCCCAGACTTTCAGCTTTAATCAGTATTTCACATCATGTATTTAAGTAGTTGTGTAATAAGCTTGATAATGTACAGTCAGATAGACCCGACCAACAGGTTGATACAAATCTCCTATGCTGTGCATCAGGACCCTGTTCATTCTGGTAGGATAATAATAACCAGCTGATTGTTCATTATCATTTACATCAGAGTTTCCCAAACTGGGGTTCATAAATCCCTGGTTAAAAATAAATAATTTTAAAGTAAAAATATATCAAATTAAAACACTTACTAAAAAAGATGAAATATTTTGTTTGCCTGCATGACATGTAACCAATAACCAATATATCAGAATCGTGAACATGCAAATGTGTTGTTAAATTATTGAAATATTCACTTAAAATCTTGGGGGTTACTTCAAGAAAATATTTTAGGTCCAAAGGATTTAACTGACAAAAAAATGAGAATCCCTGCTTTACATTGTATATTATTTCTAGATAAACAGCATTGAAAGACTTAAAGAGCTCCCTCTGTTTCTTTGCAGATGAGGTGGTGACAACTCATGGGCCAATTGAGCCGGATAAAGAAAATATCAGACAAGAGCCATATTCCCTCCCACAGGGCTTTATGTGGGACACACTGGACCTCAGCAATGCTGAAGTGGTATGTGCATGTGTGACATAAAATGTTTATACTGTATTTGCTATTCACTGAGATATAAAATAATCCTATGTATACAAAATCATAGTCTTTTTTTTTCTTTTGTAGCTTAAGGAGTTATACACTTTGCTGAATGAAAATTATGTTGAGGATGATGACAACATGTTTAGATTTGACTACTCTCCTAACTTTCTGAAATGGTAAGTGAGTGTTTGATGGTTTGCATTATATTCTGCCCATCTAAGATGATGTCTGTAATGTAGTGCATTGCACCGCATGCAGGGTGAGATGTGTGAGTTTCTTTTGCTGTCTTTCACTGTTAGGGCATTACGTCCCCCGGGTTGGCTGCCCCAGTGGCACTGTGGTGTCAGGGTCTCGTCCAATAAGAAGCTGGTTGGGTTCATCAGTGCCATTCCTGCTGACATCCATATCTATGACACGTGAGTATGAGGCCACATCACATCAATGCCTGCACCAGAAGCCTGAAACTCTTGAGCAGGTTTTACCAAATCTGTTTGTACATTTTGAGAATTGTTCATTGTTCCACTCCTTACTAATGCACTAATTCTCTTTCCATCCAAAGGTTGAAGAGGATGGTGGAGATTAACTTCCTGTGCGTGCATAAAAAATTGCGCTCAAAGCGTGTCGCTCCTGTACTAATCCGAGAGATCACACGGCGGGTCAATTTAGAGGGAATTTTCCAGGCTGTATACACTGCTGGTGTAGTCCTGCCCAAACCTGTTTCTACATGCAGGTATTAAATCTAACTGGATTGCTGCATTACTAAATCATCAGTTTATGTTATTAGTTGCTAATTTGAAGCATTTTGGTGAGATTTAACCTGTTGTCTGTATCTTTACAGATACTGGCATCGCTCTCTAAACCCCAGGAAGCTTGTAGAGGTTAAGTTTTCCCATCTCAGCAGAAATATGACACTACAACGGACAATGAAGCTCTACAGATTACATGATGTAAGCGTTTTTGACAAAACAACACACTTAAAGGAATAGTGCATCCAGATATTAACATTATTTTGTTCCAAACCCATAAGCTGTTGTTTTTTTTGTATCTTTTTTGGTTCCTTTTAAATTTTATTCAATGGTTTTGTTCTGCATTTTTCCTTAGAGCACTCGTACTCCTGGTTTGAGGCCGATGGGAGATGGGGATGTGAAGCAGGTGACAGCATTGCTGCAGAAACACCTGAGCCGGTTCCACCTGCGGCCTGTCATGGGGGAAGAGGAGGTGAAACACTGGTTCCTACCACAGGAGAACATCATTGACACTTATGTAGTCGAGGTACGCATAGCAACATGCATCTACAAACGTGCTGATCATATTTTTATCAAGATTATCTTCATATTCTTACTCCCTTATTGTGCTTCCTTGAAAGGGCTCTGGCGGGATGCTAACGGACTCCATCAGTTTCTACACCCTGCCATCCACAGTGATGCATCATCCACTGCACAAAAGCCTAAAGGCTGCTTATTCCTTTTACAATGTCCACACAGAGACGCCACTCATAGACCTGATGAATGATGCTCTCATCCTAGCCAAACAGGTATAACTGGCACAAAACACATCAGAAGTGTTGCCTAACACAAATGAGCTTGTTAACCCAAGACTATTACTAATGATTTGTTGACTAATGGCTAATTTCTAATGATTTGATATTAAATCATGTCTTCATGTATTGTAATTCATATTCCCTCTTTTTTGGGGGGGGGTGTTTTGGGACATCAGAAAGGTTTTGATGTTTTCAATGCGCTGGATCTAATGGACAATAAGACTTTCTTGGAAAAGCTCAAGTTTGGGATTGGTGATGGTAACCTGCAGTATTATCTGTACAACTGGAAATGCCCTCCTATGGACCCAGAGAAAGTAAGATTCTTTTTTTTTTTTTAATTGAATATTTTTTATCTTTTATATCCCAGCTTTGATGCTCCTTAACCTCTTCCCACAAAAACAAAACTATGTATGTATATGTTTTTTGGTTGTCACAATTGTTTACTTTATTAAATAATTTTATTCATTATTTTTTTAAAGCAGCAATGGACTTGTTAAAGGGGTGATATGATGTTGCTAAAAAGAACATTATTTGGTGTAATGAAATGTTTATGTGGTTTAAGGTTAAAAAAACACATTATTTTCCACATACTGTACATTATTGTTTCTCCTCTATGCCCCGCCTTTCTGAAACGCATCGATTTTTACAAAGCTCATCGGTCTGAAAAGCGAGGTGTGCTCTGATTGGCCAGCTATCCAGTGCGTTGTGATTGGCCGAATTCCTCAAGCGGAGGATGGAAATGTTACGCCCCTTACCATATTGTGAGGCCGTGTCCCGGCCGGAGCGACGAGACAAAAACATTAAAACCCATTATAAACGAGGCATTTGTTGCATCCAATGGGGACATAATTATGGATTATAATGACTTATTGTGACGAGTGGGGGCGGGGCCGAGAGCCGTGGGAACGGAGCGAG